ATTTGAGCATGATTACCATCACATCAATTACATGTATATATTATGTAAATACTATCAGTAATGATAATGGAATATGCAAATGGTAGATATAAACACGAAAATGAAAGACTACAAATACAAATAAACGGATAAATAAACAAAATAATATGCATTTGATGGTTATCATCTATGTAAAATTTCACGTCAGTAACTAACACATGTAGTTGACATTTATCTACAATTTTTAAGGTATATGAAAATTACTAAATTTAATGAATTGTGGAGCTTGTTTGCATTTATATATCTGTTACCATCGCTGACGCGTTTAGAAGAACGAAACAGCTTAATGGTGCTGTTTAATTCATGTTTTTTTAGCTCAACTGTATTACTTTTTAAATTGGTGTTAAATATTGTTATTCGTTTGCGTAAATTGTGTGCAATCTTAGAACCATCTCAAGAAATTAATCAAACAATTTAAACGTGTTTTATTCTAAACACACATTATATAGTATGATAAAATTATTATGTTGAATTTTGACGAATGCAATGTGATGTCATGGACACTGTTTGAGTGTTATTGTAACCGACAACAGATATTCTCACGTCCATTCTTTAACCTATTTTATATAAAAATGATCTTACTATGACAGTAATTTATTTCCTAATTCACAGACATCTATGATCAAAATGAAAAAATAAAATCTATCTATTAGAGTTTGTTGGAGAATGAGACCAAAAGAAAAAGCATTGAGAAATACATGTAAACTGTTCTGCTATTAAGAACGAGACTGTGATATACAACTGCCCCATTAGATAGAGCGAGCGATCCCGGACTATTGTTTTACGGTTTTACAAGAGCTACTTCCCTTGGACTATTGTTCCGGCGGAACAGAACGCGCCGTTATCTGATCTGATACGTATTGTAGCATACAGCGTATACTATTTTGTGGTTCTTACATTTTATAGTTTTATTTTGTAAAGCAAGTTCAATATTCACAATGAATAGCTACAACATTTCTATATAGAATACCAGCTTTATTCAATGCTATAGGGGAAAAGCTGACTTTTTTTTCAATAATTTTAGAGTGCTATTAATACCCGTGCCCTATATAAAATAAGATAGATACTTTATAACTTTCTCTGATTTTGGAATGTAAGATTGAATTGTTGTTAAACTACATTTACTAGCTAATGGGTCTCAGTGTTTAGACGATCTGATTGAACCGATAGCCCACTAAACGTCTGGTTCCACTTTATACATATCTACATATACGAATGAAATATCGAACAATGAAAAAATCCATTGTCTTTTTTAATATCAAGAAAGTGCAATAGGTAGATTAGAAAGTAAAAAAGCAACAGAATTAACAATATATCTTGTTTTTTCAGTCTTGTGTTTTATGTAAAACGGTAAAAAAATAGACATATTTTAGATGGAGAAGTATTTCCGACATTTGGTAATCATGATCTGGTTCAGTCCGTATCTGTTCCTGAACTGAAGCATTTTAACCCTAATTGAATTTGAAACATTACATTAAATGGGTTGTATCTCAGCTGTGCATTTTAAAACGCACATTGCCTTCCGTATCAGTTATCACAACGAGAGGAAATAGAAATTGTAATGGATTGACGATCATGTCGCCAGCTTCTCGATAAATTATAGCAAGGAATAACGAACCATTAAAAGTATGATGTAGAAATAAATGTCAATATTATATAAGTTCTAGTAGACATCATAAATCATTGTATGCCGAGTATTCTATATAACAATAAGTAAAAACCCGATATTTCCGAGTGGATATTTACAACATTTTTATAGTAAATTAGACCTTGAGATATCTAAATGTTGTGATATGTATCTTTATGCACAGAAACACCTAAACTATAGTTAATGTATGATTGATGGGAATAGAGACATTATTTTTGAAACGGGACGGATATGCTTAGTGTGATACAGAAAATTCTTATCACTGGTAAAAGTACAAAGATATCGTTTCAAGATAAAAGAAAAATTAAAACAGTTTTTCGCAAAACAAAAATGTAAATTGAGTACAATAAATTATATATCACACTTCCCGTCAAATCTAGAGATTGTCCATTTAACCCTGCATGGACATGAGAAAGTAATGTGTCTTATGCTAAACTACAAGGATGATTGAAGGAGATACACACTGAGATACCGATTTTCCACATTCTTCTTGTTTATTGTAATTCACTTTCGTATTTTCATATCTGTAAAATATGTGTTGATATGAGAGATGGTTTGTTTGTGTGTAGGTGGAAAGACGGTATTGTGTGATGATATGTGTGTCGGCGTATGTGTAGGTGTGTATGTAGCGAAAATCGGGGCGTGGTTACTTTATGTCACGTAAATCATCCCCATGAATTATGTAACTGTATTTATAATAACGAAGACACGCAAAACTTTCACTTGGCACTGTTTGACATGGGATCCTTTTAGCTCTAACGCTTTTTTAAGACTTAAAGAAATATTGAAGTGTTTTGACTCTTGATTTTTTTAAAGAAAAACTCTGAGTTCACTGTAATTACGTGTTATTTCAATTGTTTTACATTTATTTACTTTGCTTTTATACAACTTTAAATATGTCTGCTACTCAATGGTGTTATATATATATCACTTTCTCATTTCTTATCTGGAAGTGAAAATAGATTGATAAAGAAGACAAGAATTGCAATATAATTAACACTGCAATTTATTTCAATTAAACAGTCAGCATGTAACAATTTTTAGTTCATAAACATCGGCAAGACATAAAATATCATAAAAATATAGTGTTTACTGATCAGTTTCTTAAATGACCATGTTATGTACAGCACTTCATGATAGATAATATATATGTTGCTTTATTTTTTGAATATAAGTATATATATATATATATAAATATATGTGTATATGTAATGTTATGATAATTATAATTTGAAAAAATATATATACTATATTATCTATTTGATAAAGCTGTAGCACTTTGAAAAAAGTATATACATGTGTAACAAAGGACCGTTTCGGAATCAGTTTGAACTTAGAGTGAACGGTACTTGTCTACCCCTTTGGCACAGGTGAATGGGTTCATTTACTTTCCTCACAGGTGTTCTCATATTAAACTTATTCCTAGATAAAAAAAAATAACTATAAAACGCTAATAGTATTCTTATCATGCCAAATATGGGTTTGCTGTTTAGAATAATTATGATCACTTACACATAACGTAAGCCATCTCCTACATATGAATGCTACTGATCTTTAGTCAGATTTGATATGAATTTATATAAGATAATGCTTTATACACATGACACAGCATTATTCGATCCTACAGATACACAACCATAAAATTTTGGCATATTCAATTGACAGAATTCTATCTTGATAAAATATATTGTATTTCTTCATCTTAACGTAATCATTTCCTTCCGAGATCCATATCATCGTTAAGGGGAGAGGCAACTAGTACACAAAATATGACATCATTTGTATTCAAAACAAATAAAATGAAATGTGGCAGATCGTACCTTGCACCGAAAACACTACATGATAAAATTATTATCAAGTACTAATTATATCTAGGCATATGAGGCTTCTACGTAAACCCTCAAACTATTGCTATAAAAGACATTTCTGTCATGATAATCCAATGCAAAGTGACTGGGTATAAAAACATGTTTAGAATTTATTCAAATTTTCTAAAAAATCATTTTGTTAAAATACATAATAATATTTATAATAACGTATTCCGGATTATGTCTAAAAGAACTTTAGAAAAAGAAACAGTTATTCCTAAAAGTTGTCAATATTTATAATATCGCTGAGATGATTTGAATACTCGTATCTCCCTTAATCTAAATAGTTAGCACCAATATATGTTTTTACATATCAGAGTTAAATTACGTAGCAACTGGGTTAAATGGCAAAAGATATACATACGGATTTAAAAGGAATGATCGATTTAAGTTTGAAGAAGAAATTGACAATGTTTACAGGATAAATGTATTGCATTATATGTCCCTTGCCTTGCCGCGCACAATCCAAAGATTTGTGCAATCAACGCTGCAAGATGATTGTGGTGAACGTGACATGTTTGAAGCAGATCAGTTAAGCATGCCACAGAAATGATTTTTAAAAAAAAATATAAACATACAGTTTATGACATTTATTACTTACAGCTAGCTCTTTCTTCTGTAATTCTATCATTTGGTAGGTGTGATCATGACTCACAATCTATGGTTTTGCCACAACAATCGTTGTTGCTTTAAACATTGGCGGTGTCATAAAAAATTCTCAATATTGCACATTGGTATTACACACATATTGACGGCAAGGTTACTTCACCCAAATTGAACAGGATATAAAAATCTGTTATCAAACAACAAATGTATTATTCATAAAACGTTATGTTCGAATTACATAAGGAGAAAATATAAATTTGTTTTAGATAGGATTACTCTATTGCGTTTGTAACTTAAGAAGTGATATTTGATTTTATGTAAACTGACAAAACGAGATATAGGAAATAATTTGTACGAGAGTAGTCATTTCATGGACATTTACATAAGATATTTTTAAAAATGAACAGTCTAATTATATATACATCGTGAAATCTTTGGTAGGGCAGTATGTACTGAGTCATTTACATGGAAATATTAGATTTTGTAATAATAGCAAGCGTAGCGATATATGCTAATACATAATGTTATACATACAGGATTTAAAGCAATCAAGAAACTATTGAGATCAAAAACATTCAGTTAAATAAAAAAAAGTATTATTTGAACACAACATAATGTTTATTGCAAGTATTTGTAAAAACGAGTCATCATTCTGAAACTAGTGTTAAAGGAATTAATCACCAACATACTGAAATGTCTATTTCTACAAGATGTTGATGTCCACTGTCGTTACATTTAACATTGGTTGCTAATGAGACCAGATTTAACGTTTGTATATGATGGTATTTCTTAACAGGACTTTGTAAATAGAGTTTTATATTCTAAAAAAAATCCTTCAATCAATACTGTATTGCGCAATTGCTCAAAGAATTCTCCTCGGCGAATTTAAATTGTCGTTTATCATAAAACTTCATCAGTACTGGACTTTGTGGGTGGAAATTTTTTAAGTGTACATAATGGACGCCTGGATCACTGGTCGTATGTCCACAATCCTCACAAACATACAGCTTCCTCCGACGTTCCTTATAAGCAAAAGCAAATTTAGAATTGTGGACTTTCCTGCAGTGAGATTCCAGAGAACATCGCTGAGTGAAAGCCTTCCCACATTGGTCACATTTGTACGGGCGGACACCTGGAATAAATGACGTCATAACTATATTACGTCATAACTAATTTCATGCTATATAGCTTCAAAACGAAGTTGGATACTTTAACATTAAATAATGATTTGGTATGATCAATCTAGATAAGAAATATACGATAATTGTGTAATTGATGTGGTTGTGATGGAAAGTAATATACAATTGCAGGCCTGTTCCTCGTGATAAGATCTATCCACTGTGATAGTGGGCCCATTTATAAATACGATGGTCATTGTATTAAAAAACGTAGTTGTGAAAGTGGTGCATCGATTTTGACGAGATTATAACTAAGGATATGTTAATATCAAAAGAACTTAAAATCACATAATATCTCAGATCAATTGCAAAGAATATACCTATGTTTGACATATTACATTGTATATAAAAATAATGTATAAAATATAGGCATAAGATACGAAATTAAACTAACCTGTATGCGTTCTCGTGTGTCGCTTGAGGTCGAAAGTGTCGTTGAAACCCTTGCCACAGAAGGTACACAGGTAGCGTTTTATCTCGCTGTGACATTTTAGATGTCTGTTTAGCAGTCTCTGAAGCTGGAAGGACTTGTTGCAGACTTTACAGACATATTTATTATCATTAGTCTGTTCTGCTGTAAACAAAATGGAAATTAAAACTTTATTCATCTATAAATTGTTTCCATATCCAAACTCATGCGATTAAAATATTTTGCCAAGAACCTTTTTAATCGTTGAAACGCAAGACAGAATTTCAAAATTATGTAAATGTGTTTACTTTCGATTTGTTTATAAATCATCAGAGATTTTATTTTGTAGTTGCGTGCTTTATATATTTCTAAGACTACAATAGTTGTATGTTGATGTGGTGCTTGAAGAAGACCATAATTACCTAATTCCTCCGCCACACCGTCGTCCATGCGTATATGTGCTAGTAAGGGATTCTTAATGCCATATCCGCCGTTGACAAGCTCGACTCCTTGTAATAGAGAACGCTGAAAATAGATAATACTACGGTAAAGTTTGTATAATGATTTCAAATGTCTGGCTGAAAGTGCAATCGAGGAATACTAAAAATATCAGAACTTTTGTTAAGTACCCCCTTTGATGCACAAATTATTCCCAGAATGGAGACTGATTATGTAATATATTCTAAAATCTATTCCAGAGAAACTTACCCTCATGAGAATGGAGACTCATTATATAATATATTCTAAAATCTATTCCAGAGAAACTTACCCTCATGAGAATGGAGACTCATTATGTAATATATTCTAAAATCTATTCCACAGAAACTTACCCTCATGAGAATGGAGACTCATTATGTAATATATTCTAAAATCTATTCCAGAGAAACTTACCCTCATGAGAATGGAGACTCATTATGTAATATATTCTAAAATCTATTCCAGAGAAACTTACCCTCATGAGAATGGAGACTCATTATGTAATATATTCTAAAATCTATTCCACAGAAACTTACCCTCATGAGAATGGAGACTCATTATGTAATATATTCTAAAATCTATTCCAGAGAAACTTACCCTCATGAGAATGGAGACTCATTATATAATATATTCTAAAATCTATTCCAGAGAAACTTACCCTCATGAGAATGGAGACTCATTATATAATATATTCTAAAATCTATTCCACAGAAACTTACCCTCATGAGAATGGAGACTCATTATATAATATATTCTAAAATCTATTCCACAGAAACTTACCCTCATCAATGATGTAGGCGGGTATTGTTCGTGGTTAACGTTGGATTTTGATTCCACTTTCATTTTTGCCTGATAGTTGTCTGTATTGTTGGAGAAAACTGCAGTTTTGAGACGCTCTTTGTCCATTAACTCTTGCTGTTGTCGTCTAACCTCCTTCATTGGTAGATCAAGTTCCCGCTCACGTGCAGGACTAATGACTGGTGTTACTGGAGATCCGGGAGATGCTAGCTCGTGCTGCCGGAAGGAGTAGCCCGGAAGTGGAGAAAGAGCGTCGGTCATTCCCATACCACAATGTAAAGAACTCGGAGATTGAAGCATGTAGTTATATACCTTCTGTTCATGACACATGGGAGAAAATGGGTAGGTCATTCTGGGATCTATTCGCTCTTTATGCATATACCCATGACTAAACGGCTGCAATTTTAATGTCTTAGGTTTGCGAACTACATGTGAACTTCTGGGCATTTCTTGTCGACTCTCCAAATCTGTTTAGAAATAAAACAAATGTCAAATTCAAAATTGTTTCCAATAACGTTTCAAAAAATCAAAAAGTAAATAAAAAAAGATGTTTCGAAGCTGATTCACTTTTTTCTATTTGTGCTGACGAAAAACATAGACTTGTTGTAGAGAAAGAGAGTCAGTCATTTCCAGCAACAGTGTTGTGATCTCGTACACAAGGACAGAAAAGTATTCGTACATGGGTATTGATAGAATGGCATGCTTCATTTTTTATACATCCGCTTTTTAATATATACTTAGATTAGTCACAGGAGAATCATTCATTTAAGATTAATGATTCTTGTAAGGTATCATACAGGTGTGTGACTGATAATATTTATAAGTACCTCTAACATACCAGAAAAAAATAGCATTTGAAATTCATTTAAGTGTATGAATGATGCCTCACATTACTTATAATACAGTAGCACACAGTAATGTACACCCTGTGGTTTTTACCTCAAGACTTATAAACCTAGATGTCGCATCATTAAAGAAGTTGTAAAACGATTAAAAAGATGGCTAGTGATATCCCGGGATTTCTGGTAATAACAATGCATAAATTATGAGAGAGTATTAAAGCTATCACAGCGGTCCGTTATATTGATATGAGGCGGGGATTCTCATCGCTTCATTCAGTAGTTGACACGGAACGCGGAATATCTTCCGCAATGATATATGACAAAAACATTTATTAGTTTATCTCAATATGATAAGATTCGATTAAATTGATCATATCACTTCTCAATTCAGAGTATTCTCAACAGATGATAAGTATCTGAAAAGGATGCTTGGTTTCTATAAAGCTCACAACGGGAATCAAGTAAGAAGGGCATTGAAGCAACTGTTTGGCATAAGGCTTCTAATAATTTATAGACTGGTTATCAATTAACCCGTTTAACAATAACATACAACGATAGGTAATGGTGCATTATACAAAGGGCACCCTCTGCAGATACCTTACTGGCCACAGAATTTGTCTAAAAAAGTCAAATAACTAGTGTACAAGTCTGTGGCTATACTATGCTTACTTAACCCATTCTTAAACACCAGTCATCAACTGTCATATAATACGTCGAAATGTATAAATAAAATAACGAATGTAGCCCTGGGGCATCATTCTATTGCAGTTTTAGGCTAAATCTTTAACATACAAATTACGAATACACTTTGCTGATGTCGATTTTCGCTGATATATCGAATGCTAATCCATTTCGAAATCCACCCTTTGTTTAACTGTATGAGGTCAATGGAATGAAGGTGACCGAGAAAAAATCCCTATACAGCAATATTTATATTAAACATTATATTGAAATATTATTGTCATAAAGTTAATTGATCACGCGCATTTTTATATCTATTGTAAAAGCTATCGCTTAGCTATATTGATATACAAAACCAGCATACAGGCGCTTTTCGTGGGTTTATATCCAAAGTTATCTGACTAATGAACACACTACTAAAAACAGGTTCTACTGAGCCCCACACCCGAACGATACCATCACCATAAATATCAAACATACAAGATATTATCACAAGATTTTATTATGTATACTGACACCCGTAATGTACAATGCTAACTGTTGTCAATCGGTTGAAAGAAGCTAAGGGTTCAAAATTGTCTAAAATATCGATAGCATTGAAGTCGTTTTTAAGTTGATTTATAAAAAAAAAATTCAATTAAAAAAAAATCAACACAACTAAACGATACGTTCGCGATGAAAAATAAAACAATTTGGTAAAGCTACATCTCCATGATTCCCCATCATGTCCGCACCATATACTAATGTATTCCATATCATTATAATGCTTTTAGGCTATCTTAATTGCCTTGTTGAGTGCAACTACGTCAAAGACAGTGATCTCGTTTTAATCACTCAACAAGCAAGAATAACGTTTAAAAGAAAATTAAACTTCCAACTAGTTTTACGCATGATTAGAATTGAACTTTGAGAAAAAATAATCCAATCCTGTGTTCCGGGTGGATGAGGGTTTGACCAACATTCAATTGACGAGATTGTGATATTGTAAAGGTCAATACGCTAATTTACACGTGTTAATCTGAAGTTTTTGTCACCCACAGAATAACGTATTGACAACAGGGGAGCTTGAAATTGCTTACATGAACAAGTTTATCAATTGGTCAACATGTGGAAAAATACCATCAATATTCATGAAACTGTTACTTATTAAACAGTGCGACGCAATGAACATTCTTTACTCTTGTCTATTCATGGTACACTGCTACTAAAATGGGTTTCGTCGTGTCCTGCCCTCTCCTCTTTGTTACGTACGACAGAGATTAGACAGGGTTCCGTGATTCTCCACGTGTTATTGCGATCAATCCCTGCCCTCAACACGACCATCCAATTATCTTTACAGTAAAATCGGAAACGGATTGTTGGGCAGTGAAGACGATGTTTTGAAAAGCACGCAAATGTAATTATTTCCAATAGAGACATCTTAAACCACACTCACAGGTGTATCAAAATTTAATCCGCGTTAAAATCTCTTATTTTTCTCGTGAACGTTTAGAATAAAGGTTAAAGTTCAACGATTTAAACAAAACAACACATAGGATTTTTTTTAAGAGTACGCGAATCTGAATGATATATAGTATAGATGTAGAAATTGATGTGATAATTATACAAACAGTTGTCTTTCATTCATTTACTAATGTTTACATTTTTGATGTTTGTTGATTCTGCTGTTGTTGTTGCTGTTGTTGTTGTTGTTGTTGTTGTTGCTGTTGTTGATGTTGTTGCTGTTGTTGTTGCTGCTGCTGTTGTTGTTGTTGCTGCTGCTGTTGTTTATGTTGTTGTTGTGGTTGTTGTTTTTGCTGTTGTTGTTGCATTTGTTGTTGTTGTTGTTGTTGTTGTTGTTGTTGTTGTTGTTGTTGTTGTTGTTGTTTCACGGTAAATATGATTTCCTTCCAAATACCTGAACAATACTGGAAGCTGTTGTACAGGTACAGATCTACATTTACTATGAAAAAGTTATCATTTGATATTTTATATGTGTATATTGGCATATGATTTTAGGAAAATGATATTGTGAACTTCAATCTTGTTTAATTTGTTAACGGAAATGATCCCAACAATGTATCTATATACACCTGGTACCTTCATTTTCTCACGACAATCGCGTTCTGTATGCGACAGTTACCCATTGTAGTTTCCCTTAACCCTACCGCATTCCTGTGGTCAAGTTCACATCACATGCATTGAAACACGCCGTTAGCATGGGAACCGGTTATCGCTGGCAGAGTGCCCGCTTAGATAATTCAAACGAAATTAAAAGTAGTGTCTATTATCAACCATTTATGTCCATATAGACTACCTACACTTCAGGTTACCTAATTTAGTTCAAAAGTTTGACACTAGAAACTCCCTATAACACTAAAGCATTCACATCGCATACAAATCATATATCACTTTGTAACGTGCATGCTAGGTAACTTTCATATCATATATAGAAAAAGACCACAGAAAACATTGAAAAATTCGTTCATACATTCTGCGGTTTATCAACTTTGATTTTTAGTCCAGACTGTTGTCATATCGATATTTCCTTTCGTCCCCTTTTCATTCTTTGCACTATCTTAAATCTAATTCTTGTATAAATTTGTATTAAATGGTGTTATTCGCTTGTGTATCTTTTGTACAATCTTAAAGGGCCCAGAAAACCATTTCATTCACAATAATTAGTACTGTAAGCACCGCAGCATACTACAATATAGAATGGATACCAGCGGATGTAGCTTAACTTTTATTTGTTTAAATAAAACATTCTACCAGCTTATTTTTCCTTAATTTGAAACCTAAGATCCAACGTACTCAAGACATTAAATTTCAAGTAAGATTTTTCAATGAATTCAAGATTCCAGAAACCGGGACTTTTCTGCCCAAATGCAGTTGACTTTAAAATGCTAATCGTTCGCTATCACTATAATTATACTGAGGAATAAACCGATATAATCCCCAAAAGGACATTTGTATGAATGGCATCACCCCCTCTGTCTTACGATAGGAACGTGCTTCGCTTCAGTAGCTCATGAAGTTGCTTTCTTTTTCAGAAAGATAGGTATTCATTAAGGACTGCAGGTGTGTCTCTAATGCTTTATTCCGTAAGAGTACACTCAAAATTACAGGCTTCTATTGCAGAGTTAGATGTACCGTAAAAAGACAGAGGTGATTTTGTGGGTCACCGCGCGATGACCCCAGAAATACGCAACCGATTACTCTGTTTGCCGACGAGACAGCCCTACATATATTTCATCTTCATTTTCATAAAGAAGAAAAAAACGAAAACTTTGTTTCCAGTTGCTATGTAAGTCGCCTTTTGTGTACTCTTACATTTTTTGTGAGAAGAGCATGTCTTAGACACTATTTAAAGTATAATATTCTACTCACAAAGACAAAAATGCTGGTATTAGCATAAAACACACACAAGATGTATATAATTTAAACAAAAGTTCTTTTTTTATATTGTTGAACCTTTTATTCGAACCGCGTAATTTATCACTTCCTTTGCTTTTGTTGTACCCGAGCATCGCGAACAAACAGATCCATGCCGGTTGTTATCTTTCGTCCTGTCGAATATTTCCTTACATGGATGTCCTGTTTATTTTCCCCTATGGTATTGTTACTGTTACACATGACGAGTTATATATCAATAACACTGAACTTTGAAATAACGGAAACGTTGAAATTCTTTACCAGACGCTATTCACTACAAAACAGCCTAGAGCCGAGAAAGATTTGTGTACGATACTATTGAAAACACTTTATCGTATTTACCGCAACCAGTTTCAATCATTGCTGTTTTTCGCCTTGTGGCTAGTTATTATAAGGTCGAGCCGGTAGGTTGACGACCAATCGCCGATGTCCCCATACTAATCACCATTTGGAAGATTGTTGATATTTATTGAAACTTTCTTTTCATATTTTGACCTCATTAGATACGTAAAGACCGGACAGTAACTTAAAGGATATACACACCATTTGATACCGCTAACAGGTTTTTACCTTATTAGGAACTCTCTGTTAAAGCAGAAAAGTAATTGCCTGAAGAACGTTAGATACACATACCGTTAAGGCTGTTATTTTTGAGAGGGTACTTATTTTGCTATTTTCGAGGAATTAAATAAAAACATATACAATGGAAACCTAGAAAACAAGACCTATAAAGAAAACGATAGCTCAGTTGATGCCATTCCTCACAAGAACGACCATCTTTAATTGAAGCTTTTGGTTTAAGCGCGAATATTTGAAGCAGCAAAGACTAATTTAAACGGTGAAATCATTATGAAATATTGATACCTTACAGGAACGCGTTAAAAAAATTAATGTCACTAAAATACGACATGAATTCGTTATCATTATTACTAGTGTTGATGTAGTGGTCAGTACTTGTTGGCTAAACTTTGATCCGTGAAAACGGATATCATTAACATATCTTCAAATCCATGTACTTTACTGAACTGTCTAAATAAAAAGGGTGTTTTCACAGGTTCGGATACATGGTACACCGTGACGTAGGAGATACATGGTATACCGTGACGTAGGAGATACATGGTATACCGTGACGTAGGAGATACATGGTACACCGTGACGTAGGAGATACATGGTACACCGTGACGTAGGAGATACATGGTATACCGTGACGTAGGAGATACATGGTACACCGTGACGTAGGAGATACATGGTATACCGTGACGTAGGAGATACATGGTACACCGTGACGTAGGAGATACATGGTACACCGTGACGTAGGAGATACATGGTATACCGTGACGTAGGAGATACATGGTATACCGTGACGTAGGAGATACATGGTACACCGTGACGTAGGAGATACATGGTATACCGTGACGTAGGAGATACATGGTATACCGTGACGTAGGAGATACATGGTACACCGTGACGTAGGAGATACATGGTATACCGTGACGTAGGAGATACATGGTATACTGTGACGTAGGAGATACATGATACACCGTGACGTAGGAGATACATGGTACGCCGTGACGTAGGGGTATACGGTATACCGTGACGTAGAATATTCATGGTACACCCTGACGTAGAGGGTACATGGTATACCGTGACGAAGGAGATACATGGTACACCGTGACGTAGGAGATGCATGGTATACCGTGACGTAGGAGATGCATGGTACACCGTGACGTAGGAGATACATGGTACACCGTGACGTAGGCGATACATGGTATACCGTGACGTAGGAGATACATGGTACACCGTGACGTAGGAGATACACGGTATACCGTGACGTAGGAGATACACGGTATACTGTTACGTAGGGGGTACATGGTATACCGTGACGTAGGAGATACACGGTATACCGTGACGTAGGGGGTACATGGTATACCGTGACGTAGGGGGTACATGGTACACCGTGACGTAGGGATACAATTATCAACTTTCAAATCAAAATATCAGGTGAATGAGGATATCAATTAAAAGTTACTGCCAGAAGAAAATTGCAACATATGCAAAATTTACATATATCCAGATAGTGACTCTAGGTTTTAAAAATAGATATGATAACGATGACGTGTTTTATATGGTAATAGACTACTTTAAACGACCGTGAGTGAAAAGAAATATGACCAAGTTCAAGGTAAGATCAACTGAAATTAAGAACAAAGCTATTTCCCCGTAAAAGCGTTAAAACGTTTTGAGCCACATTCAAAACAATAGGATGGAAAACCGGATATAGTTTTCAATAATAATGAAGATCCGTTTACAATACGTCAACAGCGTATTATGATCTTTATCTCATTTTATGACGATTTATGAACTTCTTTATTTCTATAAGTATCATCATGAACTATTCTCACGATATAAAAACCACAATTCATGGCGCTATAATTTCCACAGGTATACAGGTGTAACGGATCTTGTCTGTAAAACTAGACATATTCTGGAGCATGCTCTCGCGATTGTTCAGTTGAGCTACACAGCTGGACAATATTTCTTTACTCTAGAACAGTATTGATACCCTGTTGGACAGTATTGTTCCCTGTCTTAAAACTCCGGAAGGAGATGTCTATTACACTTCAATCACACGGTCCGTTGAACACATATTCATAAGCTTGAAAAAAACCCATTTGTTTTACGGACTCAAATACTTCCCTGCCAATTATTTACATACACGGTAATCAATTTGTATTCAGATTCCTTTTGCATAATATTTTCTTAAATGTGAAATGAAGTATTTAAAATATATTTACATATTCTTCAAGTTATTTTCGGTTGACAATGCTCCACGGAGCGTTTATATATACCTAATGTCTAGTATCAAATTAGCACTTTCTTAAGGCGGTGGTAGAGCTATTGTCCATGTGGTCAATTAGGAGATCTCTCATATGGGACCCAAGAGGAGTGACAACGCGCTTTTTTCCTCACTCTCAACGTCACACTACCTTTCTCGAATTCCATTCTGTATCGTTACAAATTGTTGTTTTTTTGTCCCTAACTGATCAGGTGTAACTATGGTCAAGTGTTAAAAAAGACATTAGATATATTCTGTTGTTGTCATCTGGTATCACTTAACCCTAAAACATATTGTTAAATTTAAAGGTCTTTGTAACTAATGTAAAATCAGTATACCCTGTTTATAACTAGTTTCTTTCCTTTGAAACCGTTTTTTCACAATTCATAAAAACGAAACAAAACCAGGGAAGGGCGGGTGTGATTATCATCAGCTGTTCTCTCATCGCATTCTTCCGCCTGCCCCACTACCATACTTTTACACAATCGAAAATACATTATCTGATTGTTGACTTATAGCACCAATAAAATAAACAAAACAATGTCAACAATCATCTGTGCAGATAGAAACCATGTTATGGAATGATTTCTTGATTAAGTGATAACGAAAAATGTTTCAAGGTAATGACCCATGGCGGCGTGATCATTGTTTTTAAGTTGGATGTATTTTATGATAAAACATAACGAGATAGAAATCTACACTGTTTGGAAAAAATGTACTCTTTTACGTGAGATATTTTGAGTTAACCTTCAGCCTCAAGATATTTGAAGTTGTCGTTTTGAAAAAAAAAATAAATGGCTAAGAATATTGTATAAGTGTTAATATATATAATCAGAGAAGTACCAGGTTGTTCACGTATGTCTGTATTCTCTATACGATAGAATATTAAAATCAATTACTCATTTCGGATATTATTTTTTACTGCTACACAATGCTCTGTTTTGGCATATTGACAAAAATGATTATTTTTCATGTTCGATTAAAATCCTAAAATGTTATTTTATTTAAAGCAAAGCCTAGTTCTATGTTACTCGTTAATTATATGATGATTTATCCAGTGATATAAATAGCACCAAGTAATACTATAACGTCCTGAAACAGTATGCATCAATCTATATGTAATTTATCTACTAATTACTAAATACTACACTAACAAAAAATAGATTAGATAATAATATAATTTTTATTTTGTTTGTTAGTTTGTTTTTATTCTAATGATTTAGATAAAGTTCTATGAAAGTTGAAATAATTAAGAGCATTACTTACTCTGTATTGGTTCTCGTTTAAGTTCCGCCCCCTCGACGACTGGAGGCGTGGATGCGATGAAGTCCATCTCATCGTGTCTAGTTTCAGCTGCAGCGGCTGCAGGTTCACCGATATCACACAACTGGTGTTCTTCCTCATTGACTTTCAGACCTAAATTCTCTACATGTTCCTCCTGTTGACCCTGGTCTTGCCTTTCCTTTTGTTCCAGTTGTTGCTGTTGCTGCTTTTTAAGATACTTTCGAACAAGAAAGGACTTCGGCATGTTGTTTCCTAGAATGGCAAACTTTTCACTCAAGTGTCACTTTCTCAGAGGAATCACATCACTAATTATCGGAAATATAATTTTTTTTTGATTGGTAGAATAAATGTTATTGTGATATTATTAATGTTACAAGCATATAGTGTATCGCCTTGTGGAAGGCGTATGAACCTCCTCGAAGTTGTGTGATGACAGATATGGCCAGTCACCCGGTATACCAGCTTCTACACAGGACAGCGATGAGGCAAGTACTCGTCCTTATGACTGATTTACAACACTGTACCAATAGAATGGGTGAGGGCTGCTTTAAAACTGTTTCTAGTTGTGGGAAGAGCTTGGTAACGGTACGGTTGTCACCTTGTATGGAGTGGGGTGTTTGGTGATCACTGGCGCGTGACGTTGGATCGCGGTTTCATTGAGAAAAACTTGTTATCAATGCGTGCGCATCTACCTGACAAAATTATTTACTGACGATTGATGCGGACGACAAGTTTAAGAACAGTCAACTTAATACTTTGTATCGTAACCTTACAACCGGTCATTTAGATCATACAACTTTATAATTCCGTCCATGTTGTTGAACGTGAAATCTCAGTGGTGTATGTATGCCAATGGGCCTTCCGTCGGTGTTTAGAACATCTGCAGTCCAAAGGGTTTGTAAAGAAGCTACCCTTTACCGTAAGAAATGTACACGGATAGCGTTACCCATCAAGATGTTCTGTTAAAGGGGTGAACTTTAATGTAAGACACCAACCACATCTCTGGATAGGTTTAAAGCGGTGGATGAGAATGCAAGAGGACTTCTTAACAGAAACATGGGCGTCTGGCATTCTTGAATAAAAACAAAACAAAACAAAACGGATGGATGTAAAGTTTGTTGCAGAGATTGAGTTGTTACATATTCAAATACAGGTTGAATTACATCTGCTATAGCTTTAAACGTATTTAAGTGGTGTACGTTTATATTAGAATGTAAGCATGAAAAATAAATCTCAAATGTTAAATTGTCATTTTTATCAGGCAAATTTAAATCCATAAACCTTTATGAAGATTTGACATTCCGACACATCGCAAGATTCTTGTAAAAAGGTTTGTTATGTTAACACTATTCAAAACAAAATTTAGCATCAAATAGAGTAAAGCGAAATAATTAATTGAACTGCATCTTACAGCTGTTTCGTTGTTTTAGGACTCGAGGTCAATGATGCCAAGAGTATTAAGTTTGATACGTAGGAGACGACAGAAGACCAATGACTGAAATTTATTTCTCCCATACTTTACAGGGCCTTTTCGGATTTTGGCAAGGAAAAGATCAATCTTTCTTTTGGAACAGACAGCTACGACGTTACCCACTATAGGGTAGCGTTATCATTTTATGTAGCGTTACCATGTCGCATATTGATAACGTCATCATTTTCTATAGCGTTACCATGTCGCATATTGATAACGTCATCGATTCATGTAACTTTCCCATATCGCTTATTGATAACGTCATGAATTTATGTAGCGCTTCCATGTCGCATATAGATAACGTCATCATTTTCTATAGCGTTACCATGTCGCATATTGATAACGTCATCATTTTATGTGGCGTTTCCATGTCGCCTATTGATAACGTCATCATTTTATGTAGCGTTTCCATGTCGCATAATGATAACGTCATCAATTCCGAAGTACATTTCTTGGAACATTGATGATAGAGCAATGAAATCGTTGAACAACAAGGTACAATTTGTTACTATTTTATCATATGTCTGGGAGAAACAAAACATGGGTCTGTACCGTGACAGGGATATATCAACCCTTGTGTAAGAATTTAAACAGCAAGAGATCTGTGCTTACCAGCCAAATCTTCCTAAACAGACACATGTAAAATTCTTCTAGGCGAAATGTAGATGGGAAGCTGGAAATATAGAAATTAATTATTCCAATTTAGCATAACAGAAACCTGTTCAACAAGATAATTCCTACATCATAAATCTCTACATTACTTTTATGAATTACAATTACCTGCACATTGTAAGTCTTGTCTGACTGGCAGACACACACATGTAACTCTCGATAATCCGGAACTCGATTATCTGAATTTTAGATAATTTGTGAACGGCACTGTCTCCAAATAAATAGATTGTATATAGCTTGATTTGATACAATATAAGGACAATGTATGTCTCTTTTTTGTGTATACAATTGTTTATGATGTATGAAAACAAACTATATTTTATCTACAAAATGTTTGCTATTATTTCTTTGAATATACAACTGTACTATATTTAAAAAGTGCGTCGTAGAATTATGTGTTATTGTTTCCCGGCAAAAATATATTTTGTTTATTGTTGTGTGGGACGGGTTTCTATGTAAATATATGTAGCAGTGTTGGTATTTACACGCAGTATGATACACATCCGATGATGTAACCGCTTTGTTGATCAATCAAAAGATTTTTCTAAAAACTGCAATTCAACGATTACCTATGTAATAGTGACACTTCCTTTGAAATCTATACTGGCGTTGAATTCGTCATTCGGTCACACATATAGATATCTTTTGGGAAATCCTCCTAGTATGGTAAGTGGTTAATACTCTGTATGTATACATTATGCAAATGATCAATAATCAATAACGTCGATGGAAGGTTGAACAGGTAAGGTATAAATGGTTGAGCGTCTGTTATTTAATCTTTCTGATACCTTACACCTTTAATTATCTTACTTTAAGTCCATTTTGATACCTACATCACAGTTTTAAAATGTACAACTATATATCTCTATTGCTAAAATATTATAAGATATTAATATGTTTATTAATTACAAATTTAAAAAGAAAATCAATGTTCTGTATTTATCTAATGTATATACAGCCTGTCGTCTTTTATTTAAATTTCTGGAATGATAAGAATTGATCGGGCTACGTACCGTAAAACGTGTTATTTTCACGTTACCGTAAAACGTGTAATTTTCACGTTACCTTAAAAACGTGTTATTTCCACGTTACCGTAAAACGTAAAGCTTCTGGTATAGAATAACACAGCCAACTGCAAAATTATGTCATCATTGTTTATTTTGGCAAGAGATGACAATACAAAACATTTATTGCAAAGTTCTATATATAGGCAATTGCAATTTATAAAAAAAACAAAACAAAATTTCCTCGTGACCAGCTGAAAGTTCCACTTTCCATATTTGTACTTTAAAGTGACTATCAGTTTCGTATTATACGGACAATTACCAGAGGTATCAGATTTTTTTCAAATTTTCCATAAATAGCAGAGTTCCGTGACGATTCCGTCTCATGACGGGTCATATTCGAGGGATGTGCCTTGTTAGCATACTTTTCAACTTAACAGCAGTCGAAGGATGGTATCCTTAGAACAACTTGTTACTCTCCTATTTTGTATGTACAATGCAGAATACACCCTCAGAATGTAACTACGCCTTAAAATCATAGAGTGAATTTGAAATATCTGTTATAATGTAACTACGCATTTTCTTTCACAAACTTTCTTTCACAAATCCTTCTTGGAGATTCTGAAAGTAAAACGATATCAGATGTCTTATCAACTGATTTACTAATATCTATGTTCAAATACTGCCAACTTTCAAGCATTCGTGAGCGATTTATTTTTGCGATAGGCATATATCAGAAAATGTTAAAGCCCCAATATACGTAAAAATCACTGTAAAAAACAAACTTTATCTTATTTTCCCCGTAATATATGTAACAAAACAAATACTTTCCTTTAATTAAAGAAAATAAAACTGACTGTTTTCAATTTAAATAAGAATTGAAAAAATCGGAAAATAAACAATGTGGGACCCACAATAATTCATATATTACCGCTCGTAGTGATGACATTGCGCATGCGCATATTCCGCGTGTGTAAACATGACAGACACAGTACAGACGTTCACCAGTAGCTTCCTTTTTTTCCAATCATACATCAGGCCACTTCTGAATTCTTACGTTATAATTGTGCGTCGTATCGTTTCTAAACTAATTATTCCTTCTAATAATTTCCCAAAAACTGAATGTTTATCACAGAAATACCTCAAGTCTACGACAAGACTTCGCAAACAATGTTTGTAAACAAAAACTTACCGTAGACATATCTGCATGTGCTTCCTCTATCAGTAGAAATCTCAACTCTCGCGAGATCAGGTCATGAACTTTCCGACGTGGTTCGGCAACAATCGTAATTTCGATGGCGGAGTGTTTAAAATGGAGGTGTGTTTACAAATAACGAGTTTCAACTGCTCATATATCAATACTTTATGCACAAAGTCATGGTAACTATTGTTTGAATAACTTAATTTTAACTACATCTTAGAGAATATCTCAATAATTATGAGTGATTCTACACAAAAATTTTGGTGAATGTTACGTATATTGGGGCTTTAAATTCATAGCACAATAATCAAAGCCTGCATGAATCAAGAAAATATTTCTTCGTGAATGTATAGAAGTATAAAATCACGAAAAATATTAATTCCGAAAAAAAAATCAGTGTATAGTAACATCTCTCCGGGAAATTTCTCAAAAACGACATACGTTTAAACAAATACCTCTTAATAACAGCATTTAAGTTATTTAATATAACTTAATATGATAATAAAATTCAATTGCTGTAAAATTAAACAACACCTTTATTCCCTCTAAATAGATTAATCTCATTCTAAATTACTTATCAATTAAAAAGAAATGTCTATAATAAACTTTTAAAAATTCATCGGTATCAAGCAGAGAATATTAATTGTTAGATAAATTGGAAATATTTATCACTGAAATAGATACTCATGAAGACGAGAATTATAACTTGAAAATTTATATCGCAATTAAAATAATTGACTTCATTAGCGTCGATAATCTTCAATATAATTACTTTTATTTAAAATTCGTTAGCAAGATGTATCTTAAATAAGATAATATATTATCAAGGACCACTTAATGATTATAATGATAACATAATTATAATACGAAAACAATTTCAATTGTGGTTGACATCG